AATAAATAAAATCTTTAAAAAAAAAAAAAAAGACTGAGAGCTAGACCATTCCCCTTGTTTCATTCATCCTATAAGCTAAGGCCTTTTGGTAATAAGCCATTACTGTCTCAATTATAAAAATCCTGCACCCCAGCATAACTTTATATTCCCTTTTGGTCTGTGTCCATATGAGGCTTAGTTTTACATAATTTCAATCACAGTATATATATTTTATATTTTGCTTTTAAAATATTTTTATGATTGAAAATATTGCATACTTATTATAAAAAAATAAAGGAAAAAAACTACAAAAGAAAATGATCATTATATGATATTACTACCGCATAGAGATGGGCACTGTTAACATTTTGGTGTATTTCTTTATAGTCACATATATGCCTAAAATTTAACATACTGAGATTAAGATTATACTCTATTATACATTTTGTAGCTGTTCACACTTAATAAACCTTAAACATTTCTCCTCTTTTAAAATACTTTTTGTGAACATTTAAATGGCATTATTCTATCATTCAAATATACCACATAATCATTTTAAGTTGTTTTTGCTGTTACTACTTTGAGAAATACCATATTCAACCAGGAGAGATACCGGGACCAAAAAGTCCTACTTTGGGATCAGGTGGGAGAAAGACAAATGGTTAATACCATTATTTCTTTGTTTATGATATTCCAATAAATATACCTTCTGTTTCAGGAAAGGAAAAAATGTTCTCTCATGTATATTAGGTTCAACATGAATTTCCTTCACAACTTTCATTAGCAATAGAGGAAAGAAATGAATTTTAGAATCAGAAGACAGTTGCAGCCAAAAAACGTCAAAGTGAGAGGTTTCCCTTTCCTTTAGGGCATCTGAATTTCCTCTCCAGACTTTCCAGTTAGGCTGGTCTGCTCATTACACCATCATGAGAAACAAAAAAAGCCCAGCTTCATGAATTTTACCCATTTTGGAGATTATGTGATGGTCTAAAATTAAAAACATAGGTTATATAATGTATATAAAGCATTTTAGAGGCCCTAGAGTTGTTCAGAGAGAGGCTATCTGCCTCCAGAATCGGCTGAAGTAGGTGTGTGAGACCCAGTGACCATGGTCAGAGAAAGCAGTGGTTTCTGGTAAACAGAGAGGGCAGATACTTTGAGTTACAGGTGTGTGCCAATATCCTTGTGGATGCATGAGTGTGAGAGAAATTGAGAGAACGAGAGTAAAGGTTAATAATTCTACCAAGGAACTTCAAGGAGGGCAATTATTTTAGACATAAATCTTTGTCATATCAGTTTTTTCTTTAGTTTATATTCCTGGTTTATGTTCATTCAAAAAAATTGGTTTATTATATTAATTTCCCCCAGAATAGACTAATTTTCTGTATTATTAAAACATTTGAAAATAAACAAAAGAAAAACATTAACCTGTAATCTTACACCCTAGTATAACCATTGTTATAGCATTTTGGATCGTTATTTCTAATTTTTAAGATCCATTTTAAGCATTCATGATCATACTATATAATTTTGCATTGTATTTTTTTTTAATTTATGTGGGAAAATGCTAGTTGCCTACAGTGCTTGGCACATGTGTAGGCCCTCAATAAATATTTACTAAAGAATGAATTATTGGTATTTTTACATAATCTTTTTTTTTTTTTTTAATTTTATTTATTTTTCCACCAAAGCCCCAGTAGATAGTTGTATGTCGTAGTTGCACATCCTTCTAGTTGCTGTATGTGGGACACGGCCTCAGCATGGCCGGAGAAGTGGTGCGTTGGTGCGCGCCCGGGATCCCAACCCGGGCCGCCAGTAGCGGAGCGCGTGCACTTAACTGCTAAGCCACGGGGCCGGCCCTACATAATCTTTTGAACATTGTTTTTAATGGGCTAAGAGGCTATACCACAGTTGACTTAACCATTACCCTGTTGTTGGATATTGGGTTGTTTCTAATTTTTCCTGTCTTAAAAATACATCAAATATTTTGATGTAGGTTGCTTTTCCAGGTGCATATAGCTTTTTCTATGTATCAGATTATTTTCTTAGGACAGAGTCCCAGAAGTGATTATGGGTCAAATTAGTTACTAGTCAAAACTCTTGGTTGCAAGGGTCGGAAACACAGTTGAGATATGTTTTGGCTAATTTCGCTGGGAAGAGCAGGATAAACCTAGCTTCCACCAGGGCTGTTTCAGGTGCCCAGCTTACACCCTCAGGGCTTTGTCCTTTGTTTACTGATGCTCTTCCTTGCTTCCCTCTGGCTGACTCTTGCCATCTGGTGGTAAAGATGGGCATTAGTAACTTTTTGTAGTTTATAATCCTGACAGAAGTCTTGAGAAAGATATGATTAGCTAGTATCTATCCCTGAATCAATTACTGTGGCCACAGGATGAAGTACCTTGATTGACTAAGCCTGTGTCATGTGCCCACAGTTGGGGTTAGGTCAGCTCCAGCCATATCACACCGACTGACCAGATTATTTTAGAATGTAAGGAAGGTAGTTCTCTCAGGAAAGGACCTTGGACAGGCAGAAAAAGGATATCTATTACAAATATTTTATTCAATGTTAATATTAAGTTATTTAATAATTATTTCATATTTTAATTAATTTTATTAAGTATTTTTATCACTCGATAGCCATTGCTAAATGATTTCTAAAAATTTATACTAGCCCTAGCAATATTTCTTATTTTACTGTACTCTCATCAACATTGTATATTATTATTTTCTAAATATCTTGCTAATTTAATAGATTAAAAATGGCATCTTGTTTATATTTCCTTTTTTCATTTAGCATCTACCATAATTATTTTCTGTAACTGTAACTTTATTGGCTGTTTATTCTTCCTTTTGATTGCTGTATCATAGTTTACCAAGCTATTTTCCAATTATTGGTCATTTAGTTTGTTTTATAATTTTTATTTTTAACCTTTGTAGGTAATAATACTGCAAGTATTTTTGTATGCCCATAGGTTTTTGCCTCTATTGAGTTTTTTCTTTTGGAACAATTCCAATGGTGATATTCTTGCATGAAAGATATAAACATCATTATGCCCTTTGATTTCAAAGAATTTTACCAACTTGTATTTTTACCAGTATCATATAAGTGTAGTTATTGTATCATGTTTTTACCAACATTGAGCATTATTTTAAAGACTATTTGTTAGTTGATTAAGTATGAAAAGCGATCTCAAATTGTTCTAATTTGCAGTTTTAAAATAACGGCTGGGTTTAAATTAACAATTCAGTGACTCCCCAACTCCCATGTTCTTCTTATATTGTTATTTAGAGTATAAATACCAGGCATTCCCTGTGCTTTATTTTATTTCTTCTTCTTGTGCCCAGGTCTGGTCCATCGAACTCACATGTCATCCTGTCGTGTGGATAAGCCCTCTGAGATTGTGGATGTTGGAGACAAAGTGTGGGTGAAGCTTATTGGCCGAGAGGTAAAGTTCTGTGCAACTTTCATGTGGTTAGAAAGGATTAGGAAAAGCTGAGATTTTCTTGGTATTTTATGATGGTAAGTGTGTATATGTTGTTAGCTGTGGCTGATAGTCGTATTTGAATCCTACCACTATAATCTGACCTGAATTTAAACCTTCTGGCTCTCTGTTCTGCAAACTCAGAAAGAATGCTGTGAACTACAGTAAATGTGGTGCAGTAAGTACATGTTCATAAAACTTCCCTCCCTGAGGTTTACCCAAATGGTGGATGGGAAGAAAAACCAAAAAAGTAAAGAAACAAAAAGAGAGAAGGGAAACTGAATCTATGGGACTAGTCTTTATTACACACTTCAAAGAATACCTACCAGGTACACTTCAATTTGGACCAAAACAAAAAAGAACATAGAGTTTACAGTCATTTTTCCTAATACCTGGCACCATGCATCGTGAGGGAAGTGAGAAAGCTCTGAAGGACCCTGTTAAGAACAACACACTTGAGGGCATGTGGGCTGTGTGTGTGGGCAGACCACAGGAGAAATGTGCACATACGCTGAGGCCTGCTCTTCTCCCAGAGAATGGCCGGGGAGACAGATCTGAAAGAGATATAACTCAACAATATGTGAGTGCTTACTGTGTCCTAGGTCTGAGGGATACAAGAGTGAACCAGACATAAATGATCCCAGCTGTTACGGAGCTTATGTAGTCTATAACTGGAAGAGACAAATAAAAAGTAAACTAAAATAATTAAAAATAATTGCAGATTATAATAAGTGCTATAATGTGTTCAAACAATATCAGAGGTAGATTTAGATGAAGTGGTCAGGAATGGGCTTTCTGAGGAGATGGTGTAGGAGCTGAGACCTGAAGGAAAAGGAGCAAGTCATGTGAAAATTTGGGATAATGGTATTCCAGGCAAAGAGAACAGCTGATGCAAAGACTCTGAAGTGAAGACGGGCTTCAAGCGCTGCAGGAAGCGAAAGAAGACCAAGGTGCCTAAAAATTGTCTTCATGTTTAAAGAAGCTCTAGACCAAAATCCTAAAGGAGATCTAGTCTACTGGAATGTTCTGAAACCCATTCTGGGTTCCTGAATCTCTGAACCGATCATTATGCTGAACTTACCTGGAAGAAACAGCTTTTATTTTCTGCCTGGTTACCTCCACAGGCCTTGGATTTCTGAGCAACCTTTTGTGTCTTTCCCCTCCAGAGGGACAAGAATGAGATGAAAACCATTTCGTAAAATGCTTCTGCCACAGGATTTGCCTGTTGTGCCTATTAACACTCCCAATGTTCTTAGCCCAGGATGGCGGCCATTAGAGGAGCTCAGTGTTTGTTAGGATGATAAAAGCTTTGATTCTTAGATAATTTTAGACCAACAGTCTAAATGATGTACTTCGAGCTTTTGGTGACCTTGATTTTGTCTTTTTCAGATGAAAAATGACAGGATAAAAGTATCCCTTTCCATGAAAGTTGTCAACCAAGGGACTGGGAAAGACCTCGACCCCAACAACGTTATCATTGAGTAGGTAAAAGGTTTAGAAAGGCTAAAACCCTTCTACCTCTCAAACCACAGAATGCTCCAGAGAATCAGGCTGACCTGGGAACTCTACCATTTATAGACTTTATGATATTGATGAGTTATGTGACCTTTGTGATCTTTGGTTTTTAGGGGTATAAAGTGTTATAGATAACACTTTACTGCGTAGAGTTCTAAGATGAAATGCTAGCATGCAAAGCTCCTGGCATAGATGTGCTCCATCAGTGGTTTTATTTCTTTCCTCTTACTCTGTTTCTGCTTCTGACCTTTAACCAGTTAGCCAGCAAGCATTCATGAATTACCTCTTATTTGCCGCTCTCCTACCAATGGTGCTGAGAGGTAGAGACCACATGGGAGGGTAGGGTAATCTAGGAGCAACTCCAGTGGGGTTTAGACTCCTGCATCTTGGTATACACTGTGTTCTGAACACAAGACTACTTTCATTGGCTCTTCTGACCTTTCATTTAGGAATGGAAGATTTTCTGTCTATGTAGGATAATGTCTGGTGATACAGGGAAATTGCTGTCTGTCTCAAAATCTTTCTTGAATATATGCCAGTGATTTCTAACTAGAGGTTCCTAGATCCCTAGATCCGTTGAAGGAGTCTTGGGGGCTTATGAACTATTTCCAGTGTTTCAGAAAGCCAACCCCAATCATACATACATTATCCTCAGGTTAAACATGACATTATTTTGTGGCTTTTGATGATAAATATCACATTGTTTATCTCATGCTAATCAGGTACCGTCAGTGGCTGTTATGTTATTGATTAATTTTAAAAAACAAGAAAAAAATAATAAATGTTATTTGAGTGGGATCTTGGTGGTGAAAAGTTTGGAAACCCTTATGTTTATAATTCTGAGCAAAATCACTTTGGATACGAAGGAATTTTGCCTAAAAGGAAAGGAAGTGATATTTATTGAATACATACTGAGTGCCAGGCATCATGGAAGGCAGTTTATATACATTAGTGCGTCTAAAGCTTGTAACAACCTGCAAAATGGGTCTTTTCTCCATTTTGCTTTATATTCCTAGTTTCTAGCTTGATGCTTGGTGATAAATAACTTGCCTGTGGTTATATGGTAAGTTATAGTGGGTCAAGGACTTGAAGCTAGGTCTCCTTGACATTAAAGCTAGTGCCCTTTTCACCATATGATGCTTCTAGATGTTGCATGTGACTTACAGAGTTTTTCATACTTCTGTAGTTTAGCCTTTAAATATTGACATGTTTATAGGGCTGATTATTGACAAAACACTTTCTAGTTACAGTAGAAATCTTTTATAACTCAGAGCTCAGAAATGTTATTTAAGTCTGGCACTTACTGATTGCATTGTAATAAATTGCTTCTGCTTTGAAGAATCCTATGCTATACAGACTTATTAAAAAGCAGTAAAATTTCCCAAAGCCACCTTTATAAGGGTAAAATATAAAACAAGTAAGATAAAAGAGCTACCTCTCTTTCTCAAAACAAGGGTAGGGAAGGGAAAGGGCTCCTTGGTTTTGTGCTGCACATGTCTCTCTATATAGGCTATTTCTAGTAATAACCAAGTGGCTAAAACAGTAACTTTTGTTGTAAACTGTTTCTAGCGCTGCATTCAGGAAAGAAGCATAGCGTAGCGGAGTACTGGCAAATTTTAGAGTTAGACTTGAATTGGAAAGAGTCCTAGTTCTGCCCCAAACTAGTATATGACCTTGCAGCAGATTACCTAGCCTCTCTGAAGCTCAGCTTCTCGCTATGAAATGGAGGTAATGACACCTACATCTCAGACATGCTAGAATGATTTAAGTAAAATCTTGTTTGTAAAGAGCCCAGCTTAGTTTCTAGTCTATAGTAGAAACAATATTCAGTAACTACTTTGTAGTTATTGTTTTAAAATGTCTGAGGCCGGCCCCGTGGCTTAGCGGTTAAGTGCACGCGCTCTGCTGCTGGCGGCCCAGGTTCGGATCCCGGGCGTGCACTGACGCACCACTTCTCAGGCCATGCTGAGGCCGCGTCCCACATACAGCAACTAGAAGGATGTGCAGCTATGACATACAACTATCTACTGGGGCTTTGGGGGAAAAATAAATAAATAAAATAAAATTATACAAAAAAAAAAAATGTCTGAGATTATCACACCTTTTCTTCTTTCTTTTTTTCATTTTTGTGAGGAAGATTAGCCCTGAGCTAATATCCTCCTCTTTTTGCTGAGGAAGATTGGCCCTGGGCTAACATCTGTGCCCATCTTCTTCTATTTTATGTGGGACGGTGCCACAGCATGGCTTGACAAGTGGTGCGTCAGTGCGCATCCAGGATCCAAACCTGCAGACCCTGGGCCGCCAAAGTGGAGCCAGCGTACTTAACTCCTATGCCACCGAGCTCGCCCCTCACGCCTTTTCTTTTGAAAGAATATATAAGACCCAGGAGAACAGGGGCCACATCTTATCTTTATCTCCCATAGTGCCTGATGTGTAGCAGTCATCTGGTTAGTGCTTTTTATGCTTTTTTTTTTTTGGTGAGGAAGATTGTCCCTGAGCTAATGTCTGTTGCCAGTCTTCCTCTTTTTGCTTGAGGAAGATGATCCCTGAGCTAACATCTGTGCCAGTCTTCCTTTATTTTGTATGTGGGTCACTGCCACAGCATGGTTTGATGAGCATGTATAGGTCCATACCCAGGATCTGAACCCACGAACCCTGGGCCACTGAAGCGGAGTGTGTCAACTTAACTGCTGCGCCACTGGGCCAGCCCCCTTTTTATGCTTTTTAATGAGTCTGTGTAGCACAGGATTCTTTGGAGCGTCCATTTACTCATTTACTCAACAGATATTTATTGGGTTCATAGTCTACATGAGGTCCAATGGCAATACCAAGGTTTCTACCTAAGGACCTTACTGCCTAGTGTCATGAGATAATTATGCAAATAACTTTAATATAAGGCAACATATAATAAATGCTAAAAGAGTGGTTTAAAGAAAGGATTCTAGAAATTACCTTGAAGTGGAAGAGTTGATTTCAGGTCCTGATGGTCAGAGAAGAGGTGGCATTTGAACAAGGTCTTGAAGAGTGGATGAGATTTTGTCAGACAGCAGGGGAAGGAATGGTATTCCAGGCAGAAGAAATGGTTTGAGGAAAGGCTTGAGTCAGGAAAGGACATGGTACATTCAGGAGTCTTGTTTAAGGAGAGAAGGTCAAGTGCTAGAATATAAGGCTTGAAAGATAGGTTGGGGTTGGATTGTGGAGAACTTGGAATATAGGTCAAAGAATCTGAATTTTTTTACAGCCTTTGAATGGGAGAGGCTCCTGATCAGATTAATCTCTCCAAGTACCCCATTCTCTGGCCTTGCCCTGTTATGCTCAATATCCTCATGCTGTCTCCAGCCACAGTTTGTCAGCTACCTTTCATTTTCCATCAAAATCTAGCTGTCTTATATTTCATTCCTTCAGGCCCTCAAGGATTAACAAGGTCATCTAATAAGTGAGTCTACAAATGGAAAGGGGCTAAAAGCAGTTTCCAGTTAGCTTTAGCCAGCATTATACAGTCTTTAGAAAGAAGATGATTTATGATTCACCACACTTATCATTTTCCATTTATATGTCTCTCTCTGCTGCTAGACTATAAGCTCCTTGAGGAAAAGGACCATGTACTATCATTTTAATATATCACTGGTACTAGCACTGGCACTTGCCACCTATTAGTTGAACTGAAAAAAAGAAAGATTAATCCAACTATGTGTGCTGGATGGATTGGAGGAGGAAAATTGGAGGCAGGGAGACCAGTAAGGGGATTATTACTGTTCAGGTGAAATGTAATGAGGCCTAAACTAGCATGATGGCAATGAGGACAGAAAGAGAGACATGTGGTGGGTGATGCATTTGTGGAATTGAGTGTTGGGTGGGAGGTATGATTTGGCTAGTGTGCTAGAATCCACAGAGTATTGGAATTGATTATAATGAGGGTTTGCTTAAGCTGCAACTCAGCTTCTGGAAACTCAGCTCTACAAATAAGGATACCTGAAAGTCATGGAGTTTGTGACTTGCTCAAATTATGTCCCCAAGATCCTGCCTGGTTTTTTAAAAAAAATTTATCTTATTGTGGTAAGAACACTTAACGTGAGATCTACCCTTTTAACAAATTTTTAAGGGTACAATACAGTATTGTTGACGTAGGTACAATGTTGTGCAGCAGATCTCTAGAATGTATTCCTGTTGCTTAACTGAAACTTAATGCCGGTTGATAAGTAATTCCCCATTTCTCTCTCCACCCCCCTCTCCGTGCCTTGGTTTTTGTTACTCAAGCTTCACTCTTTGGAGGGACCCTCTCCTGTGATCCATACCAGACAGATGACACTCTGTTCTTTGAGGAAGATTCTTCTAGGGCAAAAGCTAGGAATTTGAGTGGACATTTTCAGAACTTAAATCATATGCTTGTCAGCACTGCCCAACTGGGTAGCCATTAGTCACACATGGCTATTTAAATGTAAATTAATTAAAATTAAATAAATTTAATATCCAATTAATACCCAGACATTAAACATTTAAATTTAATATCCAATTCCTCAATCACACTAACCACATTTTAAGTGCTCCGTAGCCACAGATGTAAATAGTCAGACATAAATAGTCAATAGTACAGACATATTTATAGAATATATCCATCATCGCATTCTGTTGTACAGTGGTGTCCTAGACGGTGTGCTCCCCGCTCAGATATAAAGAATAAGACATAGACTTTACCTTTGAAGTCCTGCTCGTGGTACAGAGGGTGATGCAAAATGTAAACAAATCTAACAAAATAAAATGAGTAGTTAACTCTGCCTGTGATAGCAGGGAGTGTTGTATAGAAGATGCGATATTTGAGCTGAACTTTGAAGAATGAATGGGACAGAATGTGGAGTATCTTTGTCCTCTCTGTTTCTTCTGTTGAGCCTATAAATCCCATGAAACTGTTGGCTAAAATATGTGAAGTGAGTAGCTTTGTTCTGCTTTGATATTTTTATCCTGCATTTCTCTGGGTAATGTGGCTCTTTTGGCAGAATATTTCTCTGTTTTTGCTGGACTCTGTAGAGACCTGGTGAATGGTTAAAAAGTCTTAGGGAAAGTCAGAGTTCAAGGTTAAAGAGATTCAGGTAAAGAAAAAATATTTTGGGTGAAGAGCAAAGAAATTTCGACAAACAATTGTTGATGCTATTGCTTGCCAAGCCTTGGGCTAAGATGCCAGGGAAACAAACACAGGTAAGATATTGTAAAAAAGGCTCCCGATGTAGAGAAGAAACATAAATATATGGTGCAATAAAGTGTGATATGTGCTAGGATTGAAGCGTGTATAGGATAAAATTAGAGTTTGAAAGAGAGTGATGGAGGTGATACTCCTCAATTAAACATTTTCTGAATACCTTCTGTGTGCAGGGACTGTGTGTTATAGTAAAGGTAGAAAAGGTAAAAGCTATGACAGCTGGGGCACTTGGGCCCTGCTGGTAGGAGTGTAACTGGTAGACACACTATGGAAACTATCTGGCAATGTCTACTAAAGCTGATGCCCTGCAGCCCAGTGGTCCACTCCTATGAGAAAGAGGCATCTCCCAAAAGAAATGCATCCATATATGTTCACGAAAAGACATGTGGTAGACAGTTCTTAAGAGCACTGTTCATAATAGAAATTACTCAAATACCCGTCAACAGCAAAATACTTCACAGCATCGAAAATGAATGATCCATAACTGCACACAACAATATGGATGGATCTCACAAACAAGCAAAAGAGGCCAGACACAGAAGGGTTCATACTCTATGATTCCATTTATATAATTTACAAAAATAGGTAAAACAAATTTATGCTATTAGAAATTAGAATGGTGGTTACCCTTGGGGGAGGCATGGTTAGGTTACTAGAGGGTCTTGTGAGGTGCTGATAATGTTTTGTTTCTTGATCCGAGTAAGGATTACATGGATATGTTCAGATGGTGAATATCAATCGAGCTGTGTACTTATGAACACTTTTATGTATGTATATTATACTTTGGTCTAAAGTGTAGAATTTTAAAAAAGTGCTACAGGAATGTGAAAAAAGAGAGATTAATTCTGGCTGAGGGGCTCAGGGAAGAAGACTTGATAGGACCAGAGGTGGTAACTGAGCTGAGCCTTGAAATGTTTGGGTGTGGTGAAGTGATGAGGTGGGAGTAAAGAGGGGAAGCAGAGCATTTCAGAGAGAACTGGCTGAGCAAAAGCAGTGAACCATCTGGAGAAGGTAAAATAGTCTGGTTTGGCTGGAGCATATTGTACAAGTAAAGATGAGGCTGGAAAATAGAGAGAAACTGAAAGGCCTCGAATACCAAGGTCAGGAATTTGGACTTGATTTTCAAGGAAGTCTTTGAAAGTTTTTTAAACCAATGAGTGACCTTGTAAGCGTTGTAGGGGGCTTAGCGAGATGAGTATATCTTCATCCTTTGTGCATCGGTGAGATGAGGGCTAGTCTCAATTATTAATTCAGAGCCTTGTCCTAAATGAAAAAATTGTCTATTTCACGTCATTGCTTTTACTACCTGTCTCCTTATGCCCAATGCTTTTCCTTCTTTCTCTCTCTTCCCTGCCAAAACAACAAAAAACCACATACAGCATTACTTTGTGGTGTCTCTGGCCACATCTCTTAAGAGGACCAAGAGTCAGTATCTTTTTCATTACAGGCAAGAAGAGAGGCGGAGGCGGTCCTTCCAGGATTACACTGGGCAGAAGATCACCCTCGAGGCTGTCCTGAACACCACCTGCAAGAAGTGTGGCTGTAAAGGTAAGGTGATGCCTCTGTCATTTCCGTCTCTCTCTCCTTGTGGACGGACCCCTTACTGGATGAGGGAGGCAGCTAGTGTGAGTTTAGTTCACCGTGTTTTTCAGTCAAGTGATGGCCTCACCTGCTCATGCTGTTATTCCTACTAGACTCACGTCAGAGTTCATGGCTTGATGCTTTTTCTGTTTCATTTTCTGAGTGCCGGCCCTGCCGGCTACTATAGCACCCCTACCACCACTCCCACCTCTGCAGCTGATGCCCTGGCTGGGCAAGGTCCCCATGTACTGTGCCAGGAGGGGAAGAGGGTTGATTATGATTAACACTCTCAATTGTTATCTCTAAGGACCATTATTGTTCTGCTGCAAACATTAAATGACTTGGAAATGTATTCCTTAGGGATCCATGTCCAACCCTTTCTTGCTCATCTTTTTCTCTTTAACTTCAGAGTTCTGAATACAATATCCTTTTAGTAATCAGGAATACAGGCTAGTCACTTCCTTTCAGCTCTGTTTCCTCAGGTTTCCTCTAGTCTTACTCAAATATTAAAGAGCTCTTTCAGCCTGACTTCCCTTGTTGGAGCTATAATGAGAGGGATTGCCAGCTTCTCATTTTCAGAGTGACCTCAATTTGTCACCCCTGCTCCCTAGCCTTCCCTTTATGCTCCTGTCTTGATTGTTCTACAACAGCTGGTAGCAGATTTGTGCCTTGGTTGAGGTTGTGGGGTTTAAGCCCCTATTTATCATTAATGTAGAGGGAGGAAGGGAAAAATGAAATTGAGAGAAGAATACTTCCTCAGGGGAATTATGGGAACATTACAGATTTTTGGAAAACTCTATGCTGCATTTCACTTCCAGGCACCATCCAGCTTCTGGACTCAGAGTTGCAAAGTAATTTACACACAGCTTGTTGATGATCTCATCAAATCCCCTTTGCCCCTGAGACCGGATCTACAAGAAGCTCAGGCAAAACCAGCCCTGTAGCGTCTGTTAAAGGGTCCCATCTGTGAAAGGTCTGGATAGTACTATAGGCTCAGGAAGGGTGGGGTCCTCTTACCTTCACCTTGTATCCACCAGGTGTTACATGAGGCAGAGAAGAATAAAGAGAGGTGAAATTCGGCCCAGACTGCAAAGGTCAGGCCAAAGGTGGTTAGTTTTGGTGCAGCAGAAAGAGCACAGGGCCGGGAGGCACAAGCCCCCAGGTGAGTTTTAGCTCTGCTGCTATCTGTGTGACCTTGAGCTACTTCTGTACTCTGGGCCTTCATATCCTCTGCGAATGCAGTGTTGGATTTGATGATCTCTAAGGCCCTTGCCAGACCTGACAGTCTGTGAATGTTGAGTGCCCCAAGGTGACTGTGCCTGTCTCTTTGTGTGAGCTTGGATGTGAATGCTGCCTGCCTGCCAGCTGCCTAAGAGCTATCTTCCTTTAGGGCTTGGCCTGCCACTTGGCTCCTTCTGCTAAGCCTTCTGCTCTCTGGAGCAGCCTTGCGTTGTCAGGAATAAGTTCCAAATAGATCTTTAAAAATTACTAAGCCCCGTTGCTAATGGAGGGCAGTGCAAGCCTGCATCCTCATATCCTCTGCTGTTTCCAAAGCAGTGCCAGTGGTTCCCACTGCTCTAGGACCAGCTGCTGGTCTGGCTCTGGTTGAGTGAGCAATGCCATCTTGAGGTGACAGAAAAGCTGCCCTGAATCCCACAGCTGCTCTGAATGAACTTAGTAATATCTCTTGCAACAGCTGGCCCCTTACAGGAGCCTCTGGGGAAGACGCACTGCTGAGAGCAGAGACTGCTTCTTCCCTCCCTACCTCTTCTACTTCTCTTGCAGGCCACTTTGCAAAGGATTGTTTCATGCAACCAGGTGGGACCAAATACTCTCTGATACCTGATGAGGAAGAGGAGAAAGAAGAGGCAAAGTCAGCAGAGTTTGAGAAGCCTGACCCCACGAGGAATTCTAGAAAAAGAAAGAAAGTGAGTGCTGTCTTGCCTTTATTTTATCACATTTTTTTGTTTTAAAATGAAAATGTACTTTTTGCAGAAATTTTAGAAATGCTGAAAAACAAAGAATATTGGGATCTCCTGTAATCTTTCCAACCCAGAGAGACTCTTGTGGTATGTTTGGTATATTCCAATCTTTTTTCTAGGTAATAATAGTTTTTATGTATATATTTAGCTACATATACATATAAACACAAAATTATGGTCTTACTAGATATAGTTTATATCCTGCTTTTTTCATTATACTTATCAAAAACATTTTTTGGTATCCTTAAATGTTCTTCAAAAACTTGATTTAAGAGCAACATACGTTGGGCCGGCCTCGTGGCTTAGCGGTTAAGTGCGCGCGCTCCGCTGCTGGTGGCCCCGGTTCAGTCCCGGGCGCGCACCGATGCACCGCTTCTCCAGCCATGCTGAGGCCGCGTCCCACATACAGCAACTAGAAGGATGTGCAGCTATGACCTACAACTATCTGCTGGGGCTTTGGGGGGAGATAAATAAATAAAATTAAAAAAAAAAAAAATAAGAGCAACATACGATATTCTATCCAATGGCTGTAGGATGTTTTATTTAATAATTTTTCTATTGTTGGATATTTTTGATTACTTTCAACCTAAATCTTTGGCCACATCTCTTATTGTTTTCTTTGGATGAATTCCTAAGTAAGATTACTGAGTTAGTGCTTTAAGGCTCTTGATACATTTATGTGACAAATTGTCTTTCCAGAAAGGACTCATCTGTTCCCAGCAGTGGGTAAGAGTGCCTGTCTCACTGAGTTCAGTCTCCTATCTGCTACTTATAGCGGAACACTATATAAAAAATAGACGTTATTGTGGTACAGAAAAAAACAGTGCATTTGTAGCATGCTACAGAGAGGAAATGAAGAAAACTGTGCTACAGTTTGATTAGGAAATAGTTGTTTTCATGTCATGTAGTATTTTTCTAATTGTGGCCAGTTATTAAGTTTTGGGGTTTTGTTTTGTTTTGTTTTTTTAAGGCTTCAGCAAACTGTTGTTAGTAATCATTTTGTTCCAGGCATTGCAAACCTAGGAATACAAAACTGTGATAAGGTCCTTGCCCTCAGGGGGCATTATCTACAAATTAAGTATTCTTCATTTTATAGGTGAGGTAAAAAGCCCGTTGTACCATTATAAGAATTAGCCAAGTATATGAATAATAGTTTATTGATCTGTATATTCTCTCCCTGAGTGATCGCATCCCTCCTAAGACTTCAGCTGCTTTGATGACTTTCCCATCCCTAACTGGTATCCCACAGGGACCTCAAACTTTGGCTCGGAGTCCGTCAGGCTTAGGTTTGAGGCCCTTCTGTGCTACTGACCAGCTATGTAACTTTGGGCTCCCTAACTTCAGTTCCTTAATTTTCAAAGTCGGGGTTGCTGTGATCTTTGATGACAGTGTTCCTTGCAGAGGGATGCCCAGCTCCCAAAAATAGATGTAAAGCACTGACGAGTATGTGCTTAATTCATGTGGGCTGTCATGACTATCGTTATCTCTTCTTCAGCCTTCCTCCCTCCTCACCCCCACTCCCCAACACCATGAAAACAACAATCAAAACCCCGGTTTCTAGCCTTCTATCCTGTATTACTTGTTTTAATGGCGGCAATACCTGCCAGTCTCCCAATAAAGAAACCAGTATGTCATTTATTTTCCCTCCTTTCCATCCCACATCTAGTCAGTCACCAAGTCCTGTCAGTGGTATCTTTTAAGTATCTCAATTCTGTTTCTTCCTCCCCCTCCTACTGCTACTGTGCATTTCATCCCCTCATATCTCTCATTCACATTCAGACTATTGAACAGGCCTAGGGAGATTTTAAAAATACCTATTTGCCCTCTGCCTCTTAGTACCAAATTCACAGGGCCTGAGTCTGGCATCTAATTTTTGTTTTTTTAAAGGCAACTTCTTGGGGCCGGCCCCGTGGCTTAGCGGTTAAGTGCACGCGCTCCGCTTCTGGCGGCCCGGGTTCGGATCCTGGGTGCGCACCAACACACCGCTTCTCCGGCCATGCTGAGGCCACGTCTCACATACAGCAACTAGAAGGATGTGCAACTACGACATACAACTATCTACTGGGGCTTTGGGGAAAAAGAAATAAATAAATAAAATTATAAAGGCAACTTCTTTATCTCACTGCTTGATTCTCTTCGTTATTAATGATTTTTCATCCTCTGCTTTAACTGAGTGTTGGAGTGCTCCGAGGCTGTCTTATTACTTACTCCCTTATCTTCTCTAACTACCTTCTCCCTAGGTAATCTCATCCTGTCCGGTTGTTTTGAATACCATTTATATGCTAATAATCCCCAAATTAAGTACTTGTATCTTATTTTTATCCAAATCTGTAAAAGTCCCTGACTTTTTCTGTAGAGCTTCAAACTTAGATATCTGACTGCCTTCTTGACATCTATGTCTGATTGTTGGGTTGGCATCAAGCTTACCACACCTCAAAACTCTTTAATGTTCCCACTCAAAGCTGCTCCTTCCACAATCTGCCCTGTCTCAGTGAATAGATCACCATTCACCAAATTGCTCAATCTGAAATCTGCAGCCTTTGGGTATAGTGATTTTTGCATTTTTTTTCAATTGTAAAATATACATAACATAAATTTTACCATCTTAACCATTTTTAAGTATGCACTTCTTTGGCATTAAGTAAATTCATATCGTTTTGCAATTATCATCATCATCCATCTCCAGAACTCTCTTTATCTTGCAAAACTGAAACTCTATACCCATTAAACAATAACTCCTCGTTCTCCCCTCCCTCCAGCACCTGGTAACCACCACTCTATTTTCTGTCTCTATGATTTAGACTACTCTAGGAACCTCATATAAGTGGAATCATACAGTATTTGTCTTTTTGTGACTGGCTTATTTGACTTAATATAATGTCCTCAAGGTTCGTCCATGTGCTGGCATATGTCAGAATTTCCTTCCTTTTTAAGACTGAGTAATATTCCATTGCATGGATATAGCATGTTTTGCTTATCCATTCATCTGTCCTTGACACCTGGGTTGCTTCCACCTCTTGGCTCTTGTGAATAATGCTGCTGTGAACATAGTGGACAAATGTTTCTTCGAGCCTCTGCTTTCAATTCCTTTGGGTATATACCAAGAAGTAGAGTTGCTGGATCATATGGTAATTCTATTTTGATTTCTTTTGAGGAACCACCATACTGTTTTTCACTCTTTTCACATTCCTACCAACAGTGCACATGGGTTCCTGTAGAGGTAGTGTTTTATAATTGTCAATTGGGTAAAAGTAGATGATGGTGGTGTTCAGTTCAGTTCTTCTGTGTCTTTTCTCATTTTTTTTAATTCCCAAGAGAGGGTTGTTAAAATGTTCAATCAGACCATATCTCTTCCTGTTTAAAATCCTTCAATGATTTCCCATTGTACGTAAAATCCAAACCGCCTTCTGTAAAAACAAACCGTCTAACCCTACCTCTTCAGCTGCTGTCTTTAGCAGGCAGTAAATTATAACTAGCTAAAACATTGTTTTGTCTTTCTTATGTACAGTATTTATTTTTACAGTTACCTTCTACTTAAGGCAAGGGATGCAAGTTTTCTATTTACAGTTGTGTTATAAAGTTTCATTTTTTTTTTTTTTTTTTTAATCCTGAGGAAGATCAGCCCTGAGCTAACATCCATGCCAATCCTCCTCTTTTTGCTGAGGAAGACTGTCTCTGAGCCAACATCCATTGCCAATCCTTCTCCTTTTTTTCCCCAAAGCCCCAGCAGATAGTTGTATGTCATAGTTGCACATCCTTCTAGTTGCTGTGTGTGGGGCGCTGCCTCAGCATGGCCGGAGAAGCAGTGCGTCGGTGCGCGCCCGAGATCCGAACCTGGGCCGCCAGCAGCGGAGCGCGCACACCCAACCGCTAAGCCACAGAGCTGGCCCCTAAAGTTTCCTTTTTAAGTAAAACTTTTTAAAATAAAAAGAAAAGCAATCAAATTTTAAGAAAAATTTTAAGTAAAAAAATAGGTTGTAAACACATGGAGTAAAAATCATGGCAATATTATGGGAATGACTGGCACTTGGAAAACACTGCTTTAGAGCAGTAGGGATATTATTTTAGTTTGGTACTGTTCTCCTGTCAACCAAAGAAATAGAAATTAACGAAAGCCCCTACTTCAAGCGCTGCCCTCTAGAAACCTTCTGCAAACCTTCAGCATTGCCAGATTTAGCCTGGCTCCCTCTCAGAGGCAACCCCAGACCCACCTTGCCTGCAGTGTTGCTTATTTCTGAACACATGGCTTGGCCTTACATACCTTTGTTCTTGAGGCTAGTGATTCTAGAGCCTTCCTCGTAGAGGTCTGAGGACTTGATTTAAAGAGGAAAAAGAGAAGTTTCTGCTATCTAACGTCATTATTTAAATATAAAACAAAAGAAAGGCAACCCATAATCTCACTACTTTACCAGAATCTGTATTATGGTGGCACCTATTTTCTACCAGCTGTTTTCAAATGCATGTTTTACCGAGTTGTAATCAAAATGTATGTACGATTTTGTTTCCTGCTTTTTTACTTTGTCATAAGCATCTTTCCATTTTTGCCATTCAGTCTTATAATACTTATTTGCGATGTGTGGACAAAATTACATCAGATGGATGCTGAGGAATTGCATTTTTGGAGGCAGTAGAGGGTGGTACTTAAGAACCTGGGCTGTGGAGACAAACTGCAGGGGTTCTAATCTCAGCTTGGTCACCTCGCTGTGAAACTTAAGTTAATTACTAAACTTCTCTAACTCTGTTTCCCTATTTGTAAAATAACAATAATAAGCATCTACTTCTTCTTTTTTTTTTTTTTTTTTTGTGAGGAAGATCTGCCCTGAGCTAACATCTGCCAATCCTCCTCTTTTTGCTGAGGAAGACTGGCCCTGAGCTAACATCTGTGCTCATCTTCCTCCACTTTGTATGGGACACCGCCACAGCATGGCTTGACAAGCAGTGTGTTG